TCTCTGTGTGAAGTATTGATAATATCTCTGTGTGAAGTATTGATAATATCTCTGTGTGAAGTATTGATAATATCTATGTGTGAAGTATTGATAATATCTCTGTGTGAAGTATTGATAATATCTATGTGTGAAGTATTGATAATATCTATGTGTGAAGTATTGATAATATCTCTGTGTGAAGTATTGATAATATCTATGTGTGAAGTATTGATAATATCTCTGTGTGAAGTATTGATAATATCTATGTGTGAAGTATTGATAATATCTATGTGTGAAATATTGATAGTGATAATATCTATGTGTGTGAAGTATTGATAGTGATAATATCTATGTGTGAAGTATTGATAATATCTATGTGTGAAGTATTGATAATATCTGTGTGTGAAGTATTGATAATATCTATGTGTGAAGTATTGATAATATCTATGTGTGAAGTATTGATAATATCTATGTGTGAAGTATTGATAGTGATAATATCTCTTTGTGAAGTATTGATAGTGATAATATCTGTGTGTGAAGTATTGATAGTGATATTATCTCCTTTTGTTTAACAAGACTGGATCACACTACAATTTAGTGTATTGTATTCAGGTTCTTGGGGGCATACTTTTCTAGAATTCTGATAGTGGTGGAGATAGGGGGATGGGCTGCACAATCAATGTTTGTACAGGGTAGCAAAACACGCCGTTAAGTCGACTTATTTGTAATAATTTTTATCCCTCTCTACTTTCCAGACTTGAGCTTCACCTTGTTGGTGGTTTTCTTGACAGCAGGGGTTATTCCGAAGACTTGGCTGTCCGGTTAATATGTGAGTTCTTTGCTTATCCGTGGGTGTTGTTCTTTCACTATTCTGCAGAGAGTGCACTGGAATATGGACAAGAATTAATGGTGTTTCTACGGTACGATCTCACTAACTACTTGTCACGTTTTAATTTCTCACAATCTGATGTATTAGTTTTTGTTATAGAGTAAGTAATTCATACTAGAACGTGTATTATTCCGTGTTTAGTGTGAAAAACCCTTATTTCTATTTTTTATTTAACCCTCTTTAAATTGATGGGTCTTGACGTCATGCCAAGTGCACTCTCGCAATTCGCAGAATTTCGTCAGATGTTTTTATTTCAACTTTTTTATAACTTGCAATAAGTTCTATAAACCGTATACAAAAATTTTCTTTTTTTACAGTAATTATCATGTACAGTTTTGTTTTGTTTTGCCAAAATTTGCATGTGAGAGAAACACATCGAGTTGTTTTGTTAAACTGGGCAGGATTATCTTGTTTGTAAGAGGAAGTTATACGTTACTGATTTTATTTTCAGATTCGTTTAACAAACAACCGGTTAGTGTACATTTAGTCACAGCATGCATTACTGGTGAGTTTCTTTCAGTTTTGTTTTGTTCTGTTTGTTCTTACCCGTTGATATGTAAACGAGCAACACATCAAAAGCATTTGACCAATTGTTTGAGCATGAAAGAAAACTTTGAACCAATCTCACAACAGCATTGTCAAGTCTTAGTCTTTCAATAACATCTGTAAGTCACTTTAAGAGATAGACAACACTTTCTGTATTATTCACTCCTACACACAGTAGTATGAGATCCAACTTTACAGTTTAATATATAGGTGATAAAACTCGTTTTCGGTAATGTAATAAGCATCGTCGATCTGTGACGAGTTGGAGATTATGATTAAATTATATCAAACACGATAAATCATTTCTCGGTACTTTCAAAGTTTTATTATTTTCTAGTCTTGATGTAATCCCATTTTCTATGTAGTGTTTTAAAATGTGCATATAATAACTGTTAGTAATAGCTCTTTCACTATTGTGAGCCTTGTTTTGTTTTTTATGTATCGTACATATCAGTTGGATGGTAGAGGCTCGATGAGGAAAAATTAACTTACGAAGTTGGTAATAGAAATCTATACAGGAAAATATAGCTTAGAATGTTTTTTAATGTGCTTATCTGCATTTCTGTGTCATTGTGCCACACAAGGTTGACTTTCTACTGTGTGAGTGTTTGGAAGTAAGATATTATGTTGAAACCAGTAATATTTTAAAATTTCAAATAAGAATATCTTAATAAAACTGTCTTTTTTTTTTCTGTCCTTAACTCTCTCACTGCCATGTTTATAGATGAGCAGCTCTCTCAAGGCCATGTTTATAGATGAACAGCTCACTCAGGGTCACATTTATAGATGAGCAGCTCTCTCAGGGTCACATTTGTAGATGAACAGCTCTCTCAGAGTCATGTTTATAGATGAACAGCTCTCTCAGGGTCACATTTATAGGTGAACAGCTCTCTCAAGGCCATGTTTATAGATGAACAGCTCTCTCAGGGTCACGTTTATGGATGAACAGCTCTCTAAGGGTCACATTTTTAGATGAACAGCTCACTCAGGGTCACGTTTATAAATGAGCAGTTCTCTCAGGGTCACATTTTTAGATGAACAGCTCACTCAGGGTCACGTTTATAGATGAGCAGTTCTCTCAGGGTCACAT